GCAACCAGTGAATCAAGATACTGGTCTCTAAGATTTGGTGAGAAATTCATTCGAAAAGAAATATTAAGTGTCTAAAACCTCCCAATCTCATAATTGAGAAATGAGTAATGATAGGGGAACGAAATCGGAAGGCGAATTTGGGAGACAACAAGTGATGGGAGGGGTCAAATTAATAATTACACCACATGCATGAATCCCCCATCACTTGTCGTCCCCTAAATTCGCCCCTCGATTTCATCCCACCCATCATTACTCTTGAGAAATAGACACCACTCGTAACAATTTAACATATAGAAAACTCTCCAAACCAAAAAAAAAAAAAAAATCATGAACAGAATAAGAAAGATTCACTAGCTAAGAAATGAGAGCATAAAAATTTAGCACCACTACTTACGGAGATCTACCATTACCATAGCCCGTATAATTTTTCTTTCAATTCCTCTCCAAAAACCCCCTTAAAATTCTCATTTTGTCCCTCTATCTTTTTGCTCAACACACATCAATAGTGAATAAGATCTTTGCACACGGGTGCTTGTTTGATTAGAGACTAATTTTACTAAAAAAAGTCTTTTAGTACAAAAATGTTATTGCAATTTATGTTTGGTAAGAAATTGATATTGAAAAAGTTAAAGAGAGTTTTCAATTGGGTTCTTCATTGAGAAAGCAAGGGGTGCAGAGTGAAAGAAGCATATTAATATCTCCCCCTTTTTTCCTTTTTTCTTTTTTTTTTTCTTTTTTTTTTTTTTTTAATTTGTTAATTTGGATGGTCAAGGTTTATCTTGAAAACTAATTTTATTAGGTCAACTTGCGCAAAATTAACTTAAGGAATTTCATTTTTTGGTGATGGTCTTAAAATTTAAACTTTAAATTTGACATATAAAATAACACTTAAAAATTGAACCTTTGAGATTACTATCTATATTGTTTAGTTTATCTTTAGAAGTGAAATAAAAAATGTGGGAATTATGTCTCTAAGGTTACGTTGGAGTTACTTTCTCATAACGCTTTTTTGCATAGCAGTTCATAAACATGTTAATTTATTACTATTGAATTAATTTTAGTTGATATTTTGTATAACTTAGTAGTTCTATTAATGTATAAAACTTTTTTCAAAATAATTATCAAATAATAACATAATTTTTTTTATAATGTAAAATATTAAAAAAAACCACACCCACAATTACAGTGTTTCTCAATAATCCTATACACAACCTAATACGCATACATTATTCTTACAATATTTGACATTATAGTTTTATAATAAACACTTGATATTAAATAGTACATTAAAACGTGTATGTATATATATATATTTATATATTTATATAGAGAGAGGGTAGCGTAGGGTAAGTTGTTCTTTTAAAAAAAAAATTTAGAGAACTTATCTAAAAACATACATTTGAATTAATATTTTCAAAAATTAACCTCTATTTATATCAATCATGTATATCAATTTTTATATTAATCTAATACTTATAACACTTTGTTTAAAGAAATTTTATTTACTGATATATATTTAATAGTGTTAAATTTTTTATAATTAATGAAGTGATTAGGCCTATTAGAATAATTTGAAATTTGATATACATGATCTATATAAATAAATCTTTCAATTCAATGGTTGATTTTTAAAAATATTAATTAAAAAATAAATTTTTAGACATGTCATCTAAAAAAATTGTAAGAAGGTGATCTGTAAAACACTTTTTTCATATATTGAAAAGGGACAATGATAGATTCACCCTATTCTTCTACACACTTCGTTACACCCTTCATTTTCTGTTACTTTCGTTAATTACACTATTAACTAGCTAGCCCTTTCTTTTTCTCCTTTCTTTTTTCCTTATCGCCATTCACAATCCTCACCAGCCAGATCCATCTTCCTCCTCACCTTCATCCTCATCCTAATCAACCAAACAATTTTCTTATCAACCAAATAGCACACCATATTATCAAATTTGTAAAAATTCTAACCAAAATTTATAAAAATTCATTATCTTCTTCCTTTTTCCTTCCTCTTTTTCTTTTTTCTCTCCTCCGTCATCCTCCTCCAAGAGAACCTAATCTGGGTTCTCTTGGACAACCTGATCTGGGTTACCGTGGACAACCTAGATTGGGTTCTCTTGGAGAACTCAATCTGGATTCTCTATCTGGGTTCTCCTTCAAACAGATCAAGGGGGGGAAGAGAAGGAAGAAAAGAGGAGGAGAGGGAAAGATGAAAAAGAAAAGAGAAGGAAAAAGAAGGAAGGTTGAAAATCAAAGAACGTGAAATTGCAGATTGGATGGGTTGAATGTGTTTGGGTGTTTACGGAACGGAAAGTAACGAAGTGAGTGTGTGTCATAAAATGTGTAACGGAGGAGTGTGCACCTAGCATTTTCCATTGAAAAGCTATGTACATATATATATATATATATATATATACTTTAATTACTAAATCATGCAGGCCACCAATAAACGAATTAAATTTTTTTATGGGAATAAAATGAATTAATTTTAAATATTACTAGTAGTATTTTTCTTTTTTTGAAATTAAGGTAAATACTACTACTAGTATTATAAGTAGGGATTGTGAAACTAATTATAAGTAAAGACTTAAAATAATAGTTTGTTTAGGAAGTTTTTTAGAGTAATCGGTTAAATTATTGATAGAAAGGCACTTCCTTACTTATATGATCAAAATTCAAACCCTCATTTCCCTACCTTAATCTTCTCTCCATGCAGGTTTCAACCAAATTGTTTATTTCATTAAAAAAAATTGTAGGTTATTTATATTTTTTGATGGAATAGACCAACTAGCTCATGGGAGATAAGTGGGGAGAGGGAGAACAAGAGTTTAAATTTTCGTTATATAGGTGAAAAACATTATTTTACCTATAATTTGACTAATTATATTACAGATCTTCTTTAAGATAAGATTGGTGGTTTATATGTATGAATTGTTTCAATAAGCATGTGTATCACTTACA